GTGTATGAAACTGAGTCTCACTAGTCGCTTATGGGCACAGTGGACTGGCAATATACCCTGGCTGAAATACCACCCTTTTGCCGAAGATATTAAGTTGTCTTCTTGTCCCTTGTTCTGTTCCATCACCAGCATTTTCTTCACCATTAAAGACCGACCTTGTCGATGTGACAAATCAAATCCAGCTAAATTTGTTAGGTCTGTGCCATTTTGTTTTCCGATTACTGTGCCCTATAGAAGGTTCCTGTTAAGTACATATCCATGAGCGATTGTGCTGGAGGATTTCTTTCCCTACTCTCGACATTATACTAAATAAAACCCTCTAAATTAGCGAGGCAATTAGGCCAGGAATCCTTGGATGGTCCTGGGGAGATCTCTCTTATGTCACGGGAATGAACAAAAAACCTTGCGGTGTCTTTTGAAAAGCTACGCTGGAAAAGAACAACACAGCAGCGGCTGTGGGCGTGTAAGCCGTGTGTGAGAGTCTCTTGAGAAAATAAAAGCTGGGGCCATCTGCACAACTTCAACTTAAAATCCCGCCCTTTTTTGCATTTTTTGGACGTAAGTCAACTTCGTGTACAGTGGAAGTGAGGCGGCAAAGACCACACACTGGGAAGGGGGACTCAGACAGAACCGTCGGTATGTGTGCGTTGATACAGGTAACAATGTAATAACAGCGGTGATCTTTCTTCAGAAATTCATCGTTAAGATTAAGAGCCAGCGTTGTAAGCATCTCCAGCTTGGCCATTCTGAGCTAGTGTAACATTTGTTACATTTATTATAGGAGATTACATTTTAAAATGACTGATGCATGACATGCATTCGCATTCAAATTATTTCCCTCATGAGTTGCATTCCTGGCCTATCATCCTTCCAGCCCCCCAGGGGACAGATACCGCATCAAAATCGGGGGATAAACCAAGTCAATCTCACAAAAGCGCCCGCGTAGTTTTCTTGTCAGCTTCGTGCCATTTGGCAGAGGTTAGTCACTTTGGTGGTGTCTGTTTTTACCCACTAAGGCTGGCCCCGTGCAACAGGCCTGTCAAGCGAACAAAGAACACCAGCACTAGTGTTGGTCTGATTAAGAGCTTAATGTTCGATTTACAGAGCCAGCAACCACATGGACAAAGGTCCGAGCCCAAGTCTCGCTTTCCTGGTTTCCTGGGTTGAATAGCCCCGTAATTACCGGCCCAATAGCTGAGCAAGAATCGCCCCAACTGTACAGCCTGTGCTTCGCCTGCGATTTAATTGGAGCATGGACCCAGATGGTCCAGAATGTTTTGGGAGAAAGCTTCCAAACTATGCTTTGTTCTTTTACCTGAAACAACAAAACTTCGCTCAACTCACTAAAGCCGTGGATGTTCCTACGAGTGGACGCTATCACAATATTAAAAAGGGAATTCGACACATTGCAAAGAGCAACTTGATCATAAACAACGAAGTCGACATACACGAGGTCTGGGTAAGCGACCTACGTAGTTGGCAAGTACATGTACTGTACATGTACATGTATATCAAATGTTATATTGGTGGCAAGAGAATAACAGTGCGCAAAGTGGATTTGAACTCCAGAGCCCTGAACACGTAAGATGTCCCTTTTCCACACTCTGAAAGGGTTATTCGGCGACCTGGTTGTGACAGTAAATTTGGCTTGGAATGTGACAGGTATTTGTAGGCGGTAAGGGGCCACGCTGTACACCTCTACCTTGCCTGCCCTGTAGTGGACCAATTAGTCCATGCCGAGTCTACCTGCTATGCATGGCAGACATTAGATCCCTTTTTTTTCAATACGCAGTCACAACAACCTTTAGTCATTGCTAAATGCAAACCTTCGCTGGTTGAGGAAACCGATGGTTGCTTGTGATGGATAAAGACCACAACAGTTAACTGCCTGCTCAACACAAAGGGATTTTGCTTCCCTGCATGTTGAAAGACAAAAATCATGAAGTTGTATCTGCCATAGGCCTATATACCAGAAATTCAATCATTTCACGCATGAATGTCTCCGTGTTGTTGAAATTAAGGTTTGGAAACAAAATTTGCATGATGGGGTGAAAAGCTTTCATTATTCTATGTGCGGACAGTAAAAGACCGTAAACGTACGAATTTCGTTCAGAATACGTCACTCTCCCCCCCCCCTGTCTCTCTCTGTGTCGGGTGCTACCACAATGCTTTACTCTGCGCTATTGTATTGGAAACCCTCCAGGTGATGACACCAAAGTGATACAAATTAAAAGGTCTCTTTATTTCAAACACATTCCTTCGCCTCCGAGTCTTCAATGTGCAAGTCAGAGGGTAAAGTTGCGTCCGAGAGATTCTTGCTAACCACCACGGCCTTTCTGCTGGCATTTATTATTTATCCGTATTCAAACATCACTTGCTTAATGCACAGTTGCTAAAGTATAGTAAAGTTAATAAAGAAGCCAAACCAATTGTATTCAATTAAGAGATAAAAGTTTCAGATAAAGGCCGCAAGAAACACTATCAGATGTTCAGGTACACAATGTGGTATGCGTATTTCAGGTGATTGGCCAAGTGTATGCATTTATTAAAATAATGAACGAAGAGAAACTAGGGCTTTTATGCGTGGTAATGCGGGGTGACTCCATGTTGCTTTTCAAATTGTACTCGGAAAGGCGTCGAAATCTGTTTGGTGATTTTGCAAAACAAACCTTAGATGAAACATTTTTTGTTCAGTTTTCAAACCTTATTTTTGATCAAGTCCACGTACTTCGGAAATATTGATATGTTTCATCAATTTACGTCTTCTTTGTGTTGTGAAATGAAGAAATATAAATCAAAAAATTCCAGATGACGCAGTACAGTTACTGTGTGTTCGTCCACAGTGATACGGTCAGTATACATACATGTACATGTACATCGCTTCACTGGATAAGTTTACAACATATTTGGTAAAACAATTTATGACCTGAGGGAACAGAATTGGTGTTACTGGGATTTTTCTTTATTAACTGTTCCATTCATGCCCAGCACTGTGTGACTTAATATCGTGTGACTCATCTGCAGTCACATTGGAGAAAGCAAGCTTTTGCAGTCTTTTCACAAGAAAAGTGCTCATGATCCTATTCGTTCTGAGCAACAAACAATAGCTGTGGACCCCTCTGTGAAACCCGTTTCCCCATGCAGGCACAACAAAGTGCCGCTTGTTGTTGGCCAACTAATCTGTGCCGCGCACTACCATTCAAATTAGCATCACTTTGCCCCAATCAATCAAAATATCATAGACTACACCAGTGACAAATCGTAAACAGGTTTACGACTTATTGTGGTCCCATGCGATCGGGAGAGGTCCGGGGTTAGTTTTGCGATGGGCCAAATTCTGGCTGGCCCCCTGGGGTCTTGTTGGTGGGGTGGGGTGTCCCGTAGATCGGGTCATTGATGCTTTTTCCACGTGGTCCGTGAAAAGAAAAGTGGAGACACTCTGCGTGTGATTGAAGTGGGTGCGGACAGGCTTCACGATGCAGTTTCAATTTCGGATTCGTTATAGTTCACGTCTCATGTCCATTCAGGATATTAGGTAAGATACAATGCACATTCAGTCAGCATTGATTTCAAGCCAGAGGTTTCTAAGGTGGCAAAGGCATTTAAATACACACTGTATGTTATTTTGCTCACCTACCTATACGAGAAGGCGGCATCACGTCAGCGGTTAACAGAATATTTGGAGGACTTCTCCTTTTCTACCGAAGCCATCAACCAAATTTCTATGGAGATGTCGATCTCACCATCTAAAAGTCGATTCTGGGGCATTCTTTCAAGATTCCAACAGACGAGAGGGAAAGAAATTGAGAGGGACTCCAAGCGGGGGAACCTTTGCCGAGAAAGAGAATAAATCACGCGGGGGATCTCTCTTCGCATGCCAAGTAGGGCAAAGCGGCATGGGCTTCGGCAGCCTTGCACTACATGGGGAAATATACTCCCGGTGTGACCTGGGTCATTGACCCTTCCCCACCCATCAAAAGGTATATATGCCAAGGTATTTGTTATGCTCGATTCACATATTTTAAAGGGATAATTGGAGAGGGAGCTTCAGTAAGTGGTCGCATCACGGAGGTAAGTTGTAGTCGACGGTCTGGCCTGGTTGCCCCACCCGATGTACCCTACCTCGTATTTTACTTGAAATCTGATGCCACGTGGAGAATAGGTTGCATATTATTTGGAACTCGCTAATACTAATAGAATACACTGCAGGGAAATATTATTTCGACGGTCAGTTGGTTTAAATTATCTCCCGTGTATGGTTTGGGTAAATTTCGTCCAACGTCTGGGAACGATTTGATGAAGAGTGACATCACTTGACGAAACAAGACTTTTTGTTACAAGAAAAAGGCTGGAGAAATCATTCCTAACCGAATTCGTTAACAACTGAAATGAAAGAAACTTGACAACACATTTAAAGGCCTGTGAAAAGTTCAACCAATTTCTCAAAGGAAATTTTGGAAATTCCATGCAAGCAAAAATTGAGAGGGACTGCAGCGTAACTTGATTTGATACTTTGGGAAATAGGCATACAATATTCCAGTAATATTTCCAACGCCGAAGAGGTCGTTAAGCTCACCCAATCTGTATGGGTCATGGTCAGTTCAGCATTTTATCGTGAACTTTTTTACACGTGTACGGAAGGCAAAATTATGCACAAAACACTCTTCCCAAATGTGGTGCATGCACAGCTGTTTTAGTTCGCTATATTCGACAAGGATTACAGATTTTGCTTTCAAAGAAAATTTGGTCGTATGTACACGTGTGCTGTTCTTTTTTTTTCCATTTGAAATTTGACCTCAGCGTGATGTATTGGAGGGATCTGGGCACATGGTACGTAAAACGTGACTTTCGAAATTTTGTAGCATCAGCCAAAGCTATAGGTAAGTCTTTCATCGCTTTGATAAACTATGAATGTAGTTTCACGTTAACCAACGGATTGCCCCATTCTGAGTTAATGTAGACAAAAGTAAATTGACAAATCAAGAGAGTGCCGACCCATGAGTTACTATGAACAGAATTTCTTTATGTGTTGTTCGTTTATTCTCAGTCTCTGACAGTTGTTTGAATACAGTTCTCTACAATAACTCAACAATACCAAACTTATGTTAGGCCTAGGCCTAAAAGTATTACTGTTCCCTGCTTATGGCGGTTTAGAAAAATACATTTAATTTAATGCCAACCCCAAAAAACTTAACGAAGAAAGATGTGATTTATAATGTTTCATGACAATGTTTTGTTCTCCACTATATGGATAACTTGTTACAAATGCTAATATATATTGATAACATTATACCAGCTTATACAAGTTTTTTTATGGTACATAAAAAGCACAGATGACTATGTACAAAAAGCATGCCCTTTCTTTAAAATACGGGCCAAATCTATGCCGTAACTTTACATTAAATAATATAAATTAAAAAATAATGTATTCAAATGCAATAAAATAACAGTAGGATACATGCTAAACCAATTCGTGAGGAACATCATCGTCGCATTCTTCTAATAAATAAAATCGAATACACTTTATGGAGAAACACGTGCACATTTCAATGTTACATGACCTACACAATTTATTAACAGCAAATACCAAGAATCCAAATGAAAAAAAATCAGTGGCCACTACAAAGTTGTCGGTGCTCCACCAAGCAAAATTGATCGTGAAGAGAGTGATTATGTTTTTTACAAAAAATTCTAACGCGTGCGACAAGTTTTTTCGCGTACAAATTAAGGCCATATTTCTCCTTTTGACAACATTACTTCCTAAACTTTGTGGACACCCTGTTTAGTCGCAGGTTTACCCGCCTTGTGACTGAAGGATGTTCATTAAAATTCCTTTTTAGAAATATCGGGCGGTTTTCCCAAAGACAGTTATATCAGGTACTTGTTTTACCAGTTTGACTGTTCGACTTTAAGCAAGTTGGACATAAGATCGCAAGCAAAGTACTGTGCACATGTATACGCTGACATGAGAAGTTTGTCACCAAATAACCATCAAAGTTACATGACCCTACTTCCCCATCATGCACATGTACAGAAATATACAGAATGGGTGTTGTTAATAAATATTCCAAATAAATTCCTGGTAAAGGTTACTCCAACAAAAAAGCACAGACTTCCTATAAGTCTCATGATGCTATAGTTAAACGGATGTTATTGCTTGAAATGAAGCAAATCTGAAAATAGAAAAGGAACCAGTGTGTGACATTGACATAAATGTATTGATTAAAACCCGGAAGTGGTCGTGCTGAAATATGTGTCATTTGAGGACCATATTTCATTTCATCCTACAAACAAGAAACAGTAGTTAATATCAACTATGCATTTGTGCTCAAACATGTAAACAAGTCTCAGGCTTTTCAAGCACCATGTTTTCGTCAAGCAAATGTGCATTTGGAAGAGGACAAATTGAGGAAGACAATCGTAAAAAGTTTGCATTATTTCCCAATTAAATTCATAAAAACTATTTTGCATAGGTGTACCTTCCACTTCACAAAAAAAAATGTCGAGATAGATTATAACCAGAAGGTAAGCAACATTTGATGCCTTGCATAGCACTGCTTAAGATAATAAGCACACGCTGTCGATGTTGGGAGACACGCACGCCGCTTCCCATGTCATACATATCACTTCTTCATTAAAAATGACAGAGATATGAAACCTCCACTTGACTGCAGGCATTGAGCAACCAATCCTACGCATGCTGGCGTACCGTTCTCACATTTTTTTAGCAAAACATCATTTTAGATCACCGGCAAGACGGCACGATTTGAGAAAGCTTGTGAATTCAAGGTAGGATCCATAGCCAAAACATTAAACATGAACAACGAGTGAATCCGTTGTGCATGTACCTTCAGAGCACGTGTTCATCAAAATGCCACAAACTACTTGAACAAAGATGCATGCAGCTTTAGAGTTATTTACAAGTATGTTGTTTTGTGTACCATAAAAGTTATCTTTATGCACGACATATTTGTATTTAGCTCTGGGGCTTGCGAACGAGCTGCACTTAATAGAATATAAGGCATATGAACTGTGAAATATAAATAACTTTATACATCATGTTAGATATTAAACATATCGACAAGTATAATACACTTAAAACTATACACCTGGGGAAACCTCACCTTCTGCTTATCAAACAATAAAAATGTGAGATTTCTTCAGGTTTATAATATAAAAAAAACTCTATTTATCGGCAACCACAGCCTTCAACTACCATGTCCTGATAGTTCCTGAGAATGACTGAATCCGAGTCATCCAGGTAAAGCATGCTTATTGCACTCAAATCTGTGGGTACACAGCACGCCTTGGGTGCTAGCTGGGGACTAGCCGAGTTCACTAATGTCTGCACTATTGCATGGTTTGTAGCATTGAGGTGATCCACCAGCGGGAACGGGCATTCACCTTGGCAGTAGAATGCCTGGTAACCTGCTGGTGCTACGATCCAACTGTTCCAGCCCACGTCAGTGAAGTCCACGTACAAGGGGTGGCGACGGCAATTCGGCTTCAACTTCCTTTTTCTCTTGCCGCTCCGTTGTCGGCTGGAGCGCTTGGAAGTCGCCGCACGCTTTCGCCTGCCATCGTCTGTGTATGTTACGATAAGAGGCCGTTCTTCGAACCACGTCTCGTCCTCAGGCTCTTCGTGGTCGCTGACGGAACGCGCAATTCTCAAGTTCCTATGCGCGGTAATTGGCCGACCTCTGTGGTCGAGAACTTCCACCTCGATCCCGTGGTTGGCACGGTGCGATCTTCTCCAGTCTTTTAAAGCCGGTCGAACGTCAAAAGACTGCCAGCTTGCGTTACGAATATCCACCACTTTGGTGTCAATGAGTCGCTTAATGACATCTTTACTCTTCGGCAGGGGTTTAAGGATTTGGTACACATTGACCCTGTGCATGTGACTTCGCTCAGAATGTCTGGCTGAATCTTCCTCGTCCCTATCTGAGAGGTCTCTCTTTGAGACAGAATGGTGGTTCTTCCAAAATAAGCGCAATTCCGCCGCAGTGAGCACTTCGTTGTCTGCTATAGCAGAAACGTTGAAGGTGAGTCTGTGTCCGTGTCCATTTGGACTAGATTCATCCAGCAAACTAGTGTAATCGCCTCCCTGTTCTGAAAAGAAGAAAGACGCAGTACATTGCAACACTATGAAAGCCAGGGGGATTAGTGGTTTTTATACCGGCAGGGCGAACAATGAACTTGAATAGCCGAGTGTGTCAATAGTGAGTTCTCAGTGAGAAACCGACCATAGCCTGAGGCAAGAGCGTAAATGTTATAATAGCCTCACCTACTGCTTTAACTGCGCATAACAGTGGTGTTCCATGTAAAAAGGAATTACCTTACGGGTCTTAAGCTGCGGATACAAAACAACATAACCCGGGTGAACTATCAAGCTAGACACACTCGGCTGCTATGCTTTCTCTGTCCACGTTAATGGACTAATATTGTTGTAGGAATCAGAGCGAAGCCATGTTTGACTTACCTTGATGGTGAAAACTCCGCACTACATTGGTGTATCTGTTTGTTTTTCCCCGGACATTTATGTCCAGATTAGAGATGGGCGAGTCGGTCTGCGCATTGTAAAGATCCAACATGTATTGCGGCACGTGTATTTTCCTGCTGGGATTGGGTTTCGCTTTCAATCCAAACATGTTTAGTAGGTTTTTCTCAAAGGCCCGGATGACTTGCTCGCGGCTCCTGAGTTTTGTATCCCACTCCGGTGCGTCCGGGGAGGAGTCCTCGTCTTTGCCTCCTGCAGCTTGCGCTCCATGTGTACAACTCAGCAGAAGCAGGTAACACACAACCAGCATCAGCAGTCTGTTCATCACGGGGACACCCACCATAATGGATCTGTAAAACGGAACGAGAAATTAACACCCATGTCATGCTGAATTGCACACAGATGTAAGCACGAGATGAGCCGTCCGCTAACTGCCAATCCCCCGGCTCAATTAGTACGGCTCTGGCTCGGGTTTTTTTTTTATTATTATCGTGGGGGTATTTACGTGAGCTGCTGGTGTAAGGTGCATTGTGGTTGCCCTGTAAGTCATTTGCATGTTATTATGAATGGATGGATTCAGCCACAGAGAATGGAGACTATTGCGAAGAGGGCCCTCGACTTTAGTATAGCCAGAACATGACCACAGTCACTGTCTCACTGATTATGCAACGAGTATACAACTACGTACCCTTTCATTTTTGTTGGCAGCGGGATCTGATATGCCCTGGGTACGTGATTATAACTTATAATCCAATACTTGGTCCAAAGCTTAACTCCTTTCGATAAATAATGAAACGTGTATGTGTATGTATCTTTCTTTTCTCCGAACTGATCAATTATTTATGTCTGGAGTGATATCAGCTGGTCAATAGGGCTAGCTATTTCTTTGGTTATCTCAGGGGTTAGCTCCAGAGGTGAAGATCAGTTGCGGTCAAATGACAGCTGCTAAGTTTTAGAGGAGCTCCAGCTCCTTCCTCTGTTTACTTGCTCTATGGTGTGAACGATCTATTTGTTGGCAAAGCAACGGTAGCTGCAAGATGTTGGCCATCGGTGCCATTCTCACAAAATATCCTTTGCAAATACTACAGAATACAATGCCACGGGTGATATGGATCTATGATGGCTTCACGATCATGCACACAGATCATCATCTCAGCTCTTTCCAAAAAAAAAGTCCATCTCGGACAAAACGTTCACAGAAACTACGTGTACTATCAAACAGTTCTTACGGGTACGCCGAGTCGAAACCATGAGCGTCTTAAACTTCAAACAAGGGCACGAATTCAGCGCAATGACACTTAACTGCAGTTCATCCCATTAAATTTCAGGGCGAGTAACAAACTTAAAACCCATTTTCTGTAACAACTTTCACAATTGGAAATCTAAAATGAGACTCTGCGGCCTAATCGGTTTTTGATCTCGAGATGACAGTCATTCACAAAAAGTAAAATAGAATTGAACAGTATTTTAGCTGTCTAGCACAACCGTGAACAGGGAATGCAAGCATGCCTGGCGGCCTTGTGGGGACGGTTCAGTGACGCAACCAGGCGTGAACAGCGCCCTGCTTGAAAACTCATCCCCTAGATTTCAAAAACTGACACATGGAGTTATCCTTAATCTCCACTAATAATCATAACAAGCCACGGGGGATTGTATTCACACAAAAAACACAAAACAGAGGCACATTTTCACACAATCACAAATAAGCAACTTCCGATCCGACTATTAAAGCGAATAATCCACCAAAATAAAGTCAATCATAAGGTATCGAGAGCAGTGAGTTACAAAAGTATAAGTGAAAACAAATCAACAAAATGACAAAAATGCGAAAATGAAACTGCGAAAATCTTGGCAATAAATCAAACCGTCATCAATTTGCAAAATAAAGACTCACTTTTATTTGTCCATCCTAAAATCAACATCAAAATAAGCCTAAATCAGAATATGTGATGTTTGATTGATGAATTAGGTGGTTTTTTAAAAGATTTGTGTGATCAAAATGAGCTGTAGTTTCAGGTTGTACCTGTCATTTGTAATACACATCGATCCAAATTCTCTATTATGTGGATATTCAATAATTAGTTGACATCCTTGTTTTTAATATCTGTTCTAGAAGATGTTACCGAAAAAGAGAAAGCTTGAGTTTAATAAAAGTCTGGACATTTAGAAGAATAAAACAAAACCCCTAAGAGTGAATTATGACTTTTCGCATTACCAAATCAGATAAGTCGAATTCAAACGTCCAAGTCACATGTTATTGTCAAATGTCGACCCGCTTCCGCCTCATCGCGTCTGTGGTGCCAGCCATGCCACCGACGGGGATAAGGGGGCTGAACTACCGACCAGTGCTGGCAGAGTTTGAAATGGGTTAGCAAAACAGTCGAAATCGTCCATAAATTATACCCACAATTGATCTTAACTGACGGGCTCCTAAACATGCAGCCACCCAGACAACCGAGACGTCGCAGATCAGTGCCAAAACGGTAACCTGACAAGCTTCGCTATACCTGTGTAAAGTGTTGGAATGGTCATGCGGAGGAAGGAGAGAGGTTTCTGCCCCTTTTCCCCAAACAGCCAGTATTTTATTTGATGGACAGTAGTCTATAGTTTTGTCCCAATCAGAGGCGTGTAGCTGAAGCATAAATTCTCTAGCACGAAGGAAAGGTTTATGTAATTTACAAACGCAGATGAATGTATACACACAACAGGTTTCGACAAACGAGACACATGGATCGCATCACAAAGACACTGAACAAACATTTCATTTACAGAGAAGTCTCACAACTCTTTAGTATCCGGTGTATGTGTAAAAAGACCATTTCAGTATAAGTATTTCGTTCATCATTGTTGACAATGTTACAAGCTAGCTGTCCCTTTGGATTGGAACTCAGCAGTGGAAAAACAATGCAGCATAACTATCAGCTGTTGTTTGTCGTGTTGATAAAGGAAGGACAGAGCACTGTGTACTTGTGGCCAGGCTAATACAAGTTGGTACATCTCCCATGTGATCTGCCAATGGCAGGTTCATCGCGCTCCTCTGCCACGCATCTTGACAAAACTATAATAACGTATGTGACTGTATGATTCCCCCGACAGCATGGTTCACTATTGGGGGGCCAGGGGGCACCACATACCTCCACTGGTACCAATTTTCTGGGTCAACCATACTGTATAAATATAGGCAGGAAAGTAAACGACAAGTCAGTCACCCGAAGTGAGGATGAGCTTAAAGGGGTAGTAGGTTTCCCCTTGTCCGTTCCGATTTCGATCACATAATAGGAGAGTTGATCATCGACGTCTAGTAAAAAGACAAGTATCAACTGGGACGACAAAAAGGGGTTGATTTGAATTCGACCCGACAGAGTCTCACAGATATGATGATGGAGACATTTATCGAATTCATGATCTCTGCAACGGTCGCTCCTATGCCATATTCGCATGCGTTTGGATCGAGTCACTCAGGATTCGACTGTCATATCAAAACCATTCATTCGGCGAATCACCGTCCTAACAATGAGAATGTTGCATAGGTGACAGCAATTACAATGAAACTGCTCGGCGAAAAATCGCTATGCGTCCTTTCGTGGGGCAAATTCCATTTCACTGCCCATGGTTAGGTTTTCTATGTCACGAATTTCAATTTGCTCGCATTAAGCTAAATGTACCTAAATAAAGACATTTTCGGGTTCAAAAAGTAAACCAAGACAAGCCTAGCATGATGGGAACCAAGATTATGCTACTACCCTATAGGCCTACTCAATATTGATGATACCCTCCTGACATTTCTGTTTTTCTTTGATTTCACTGAATGACCGCGTCCCGCTACTGGTGTTTGAGAAAAGTTATGTTACAAATTTACAAGAGTTCTCAGTGTAGCGCATGCGCTCCGATCTTAGCAGAGGACTCGTCACCACGGGTTAAACAGCCGTGTCAGCCCACCGCCAGTGGATCCTTCGGTATTATGGTAGGTACAATAGTGGCCGTTGATTTATAATGACAGTGAGTTAAAGGTGTTCAGAATATATGATCTGCATCTTTACAATGCCAAAGGAGCAATATAATTATCCGCTCTGACATACGGGGAAGGATATTTCGAGCTGCACAGCAACGGTAACTTAATTTGTCATTCGGCACTTCACTTCTTGTAAGTGCCCAGACTTCTATTCGGGATGAATTAATTAGCCCGGTCATGGATTTCTCGCACAATGCTGCCGTGGTTTCGGTGTTTATTCGCTGGTAAATTAAGGGACAAGCCAGCACGTGAATATTCGAAGAAACGGGCCGTCTTACAGCTTCCGTTGCTTGAGGGGAGCAAGACCGAAATGTTTCAACCGAGCGCAGCTTAACAAACAACCCGGCCGTGATAGGGAGTGACATGACCCGGCAGGGACGGGTGGCAAAATGCATGGTAGCCTGACACGAATGCCGCCGTATCGGTGTGTTGAAGCGAACCGAATTTGTCCTTCAAGATTTCCGCAAGCGCGTCTTCCTACTCAAAATGTGGTGTTTGGTAGGCCCCATTTTGGGCACAATCTGCCTCCAAGTTCCAAGAACCTTCAAAAAGGTTCAGACGTGAATCTGTAATGAATCATTCGACTGACTTCTATCTTCATTTCGTCGATTTCTAGACCATAAGTATTATGCTCGACCGGCAAATCGTAATGTCTAAACTGCAGTGAAGTCTGCGCATGTACTGAATTTCTAAATTTGGCAATGTACAAGCCTGCTTATTTCAAAGGTTCTTCTCATCGGAGTACACGTGGCATGTGATGAACTATGATAATTTCCCTGGACACTGCTTGTTTGAATGCACGAAACCAAGCGCGTTCTTTTTTGCTCTTTCTATCGTGTGATATTTTTGCCACGGAATTTGTCAAACAAGGTACTGTAGTGTCATTTTGTTCATCTTTTCGTTATAACATTCCATTGTGGATCGTTTGAAACAAGGATGCCGTGTAAATCGGGTTGAAGTTGATCTATTTGAATTTAGAAGTTGGCTGTAACTAGAACTATAGTACCAGTCGTCAAAGCTTCTGTTGTGTTAGATCATTGGCAAGTATAGTAAAGCTGTCAAGTAGCACCACATTAACTTCTTTCTCTTACGACTTCCATTCGCATTTCAGTGTAGATTAAAGCCCTTTCCATTGCTCGCCTCTGTGGAGTAATCGTTCCACAGAGTGGGCAAATTAACGACTAATGCGGGTTCCAAAATGCCTGCTTGATTACTTGTTGATGCACTTGATAAATAGGTAATTGGTTACTTAACACTGTACCAAGGGATATGTGCGAGGGAAATCGAAGGTGTCGACAGATTGCCTCAACCATGGAGCTTCGTTTTATAGTTCCGTGCCTATGCAACGGCTACTGCTTTATCCGGAGAGCTGTGTAATAAACCCTGGCGCTATAAAACGGATGGTAAAGCTATGCCTTTATTTGCTGTCCTTCCTACATGTTACTGTGCTACCCAGCGCAGTAAACATCGAGAAGAAACCTCGATTTCAGAGAGAATCTTGTTTGGAGTTTGACTCGTGACGTCACGGTTCCGCAGTGTGTTTTGCTAAGCGATTATAGTCTTTCTTGGGGATCAATGTCTTCCATGTGGGTCGTCTATAGACGAGGGTAAGACTGCACGAGTGGGCAATGACTTCTTGTCGTAGGGGCAATTCTTTGGGGGGTCCCCTGACTTATACCCCAGGAAGGAAATTTACAAAAAATAGGAAAAACTCTAAAGAGCATAATCAGAAAAGATCTCATTTTGACGAGAGAGGTGCAGGTTTATCATACCACCCCTCGTGCTTGTTTCTTCACCGTTCAGTGTTTTTCCTATCCTGAGGCAGAACAGAGTAGCCTACATTATTACCATCTGCCTGACACTGCATGGGCCTTTGCCAAACGTGTCACCCTCCGTTTCAACTTGGCTTTCATTGGGCTAATTGTTGCGCCTTCATTTTCAGCTTGCAATAAGTGACCGTAGCAATGCTATTGCAATTAGTGACTGATACTACCGGAACCGTCGTCACAATGCAACAAGGTGTCACACACAATGTAAACGTACAAGATCACGCCATGAAGGAAGGGATGAGGTTATCTATCCCCATACCAATAGGATCTTGCTATTAAGTGTTTACCCCTTCATGCCAATCCGGTTTCGCCATTAGATTTTGTTCACGCCCAATCAGTTAGAAATCCGAAGGCCCATTCAAACATGCATTGATCTTAGTGAGATTCCCTGGAATTCTTATATATTACCGGTGTAGCTTTATGTAATTATAATATTATAATTAATCCTCGAAAAGATGATCTTTATTTTTTATTAACTCGATGCTGTATATTTTTATCAATGCAGAACGATGATCTGGCTACGAGAACATATCTCGAGTGTGTAGGTTTCTTTCTCCCAATTACAACAATCACACACCATACTTAAATTACATGTCGCTTTCAGTACGAATGAACTTGAGGCAACTTGATTCATATACATGTACCACTTTTCAATTACTCCGTAAAGAGACTGAAATGTAGCCCCTCTGGCTGCAAATCAAAGCCCGGGTTCTTGCAAAAGATTTAATATCGCTAGTTTTATCGCCTGGTTCCCAGAGTCATATTTTATCCATTACTTTGAACCTTGGAAGTCAACTTAGCTCTTTGATTGGCTACTGTCACAAACGTGCCTTTGGTATTTATAGCCTTACGGCCAATCTGTCCTTAAACCGGCAACTTTCAGCAATCGGGCCACTTGGGTGTTGTGCGCATCGACTGCTTACAATCTGCCAACTATCGGGCCCATTTTATTTACCACGCCGAGTTGGATAAGTGTTTCTCCCAGGAGACAGGTCGGCAATGTACACAAGGCATTCTTGTAGACTTCCCTAACCTGTCGTTAACAGCGTTTGGTTGCCGTCACACCGGAGGCCCGGGCAGGCCGCTGATTGAGGGAGCAATGAAAGGGAAAATGAAATGTCAACGGATCACCTGCGGGACTTGTGTTACCAATTAAAGTCCGCTACGGCAATTTTTCCACCCGTGTGCCGACAGTAGAACCGCAGCTTGTTGTTGGGTAAAAGACCGAGACCCAGGGAAGGAGTGAGGGGGAAAAACAAGAAACCTTCGATGAAATTCCCTTAATTCTTAGTATCAAATAGAGTGATGAGAACACTGAAAAGCTTGCCCTGTTAGCATTCTTACGGGCCAGGAAATAAAGTTGGTCGATTCAGAGGCAGGTGGTGGCGATAGCTGCTCCCTTGAAGAGCGAGTGATTTACCGTGATCTGTCCGCGCGTTCTCCAGCTCCGCGTCAGCGCTGCCGGGACGAAACCTAGGCAATTTCAATCGCATTAGTAGGTATCAAGTAATCAAAATATGGAACTCCTGTGGTCTACCTGTATATGGTCATTAAACGCACAAGTAAGTCGATACGGCCTGGGTACTCTCCCGCGTTCAATTGCTACTTGCCGTGGTAGGGTAACAGGGCTTATTTTAGGCTGGGTAATTCTTTGACAATCAGCAGCAACTGAATGGTATTTAGGGTATGCTGCGACTGGTATTCCCCAATGCGTAAGTCAGTCTTGACATTGATTCCGCATACCGGCGCATAACCTTATGTTCAATCAGGTCTGGGCCATTTATTTACAATTTGGTCCCTGCCGTACAGCACGGAGAGTCATTTTTTTTCACGCAGATATATTTTTAATTTTAAGCTGCGGATTTCGTAATGCATAAAATACGGATGGCCGCTAATACCGAAGGTAATGGCGGCCTCTCTAACCTGTCAAGAACACTCAGAGTGACTTTAGGGTTGGCATGAATGTAATGAAAAGAGGCGCATCTGCTGAGAAGGAAGTGATCTAACTGCAATGGATCATGTCGTTCTGGGCTGGCCAAGTTGACCTAGGGAATTCTGTAGATCAGTCTCAGTGTCAGGATAAGTGCAGTCGTCAGAACTATGAGTGCAAAGGACAAGTGTTAAGGTTAAATCACGGCGTAATATTATGAGTAAACTTAGGCCACACAACGGGCAAGTAATGCACGTTGTGAGCACACGGCGAAACATGCACGCCATCGAGTATCGTTCAAAAATCTGCGGGAAATCATGTCCTGTAGCGGTTTTTTTTCTCTGAACAGTATCTTTGGATTAAGTAGAGTACACTCTATTCAGGCTGTCTGTGATGAGAGTTGCTGCGGGTAAAAGTTCAAACTTCAAGTACAGTCCGTAGAAGCGGCAATTTCAGAAATCACTTTGTAAAAACCATGCATGCCAGGCTGTAACAGTGGTAAGTAATTCAGCAGGCGGCTGGAGAGAACGGGCAAATTGTTACACGGGCAAATTGTTACACGATCACTAGAAATGCAATGCAGTGGCAAGCTAACAATAGGTAAACTGGTGCTTGTTTTGTAGTTTTTTCTTACTTACTTTGAAGGCACGGTTGTGCCCAACCAAGTCCAGGGTAACACAGTTATGTTCCAAGAGGCCCGCCCGATGGAGCGGGCCAGACAGTTCTCGCTAGCTGATGAGGGCACTGACTCAGAGCCGGCCTGGAAGACGTTCAGTTGCTTGGCTATGCAATCAGTGAGGCTATCGCGGTAATCTCCCAAGTTAACTCCTGCCAGAAGAAGACAGGTGCAACCACTACCTGATACGTGTGAGATATTTCCATTTAATGTTTCAACATCACAACACTTGCGGCAAAGTCGTTAGAAAGAGCGGTGCAGGTGTGGGGCTAGACATGTGGCAAAGACATCTTATATAGGCAGGCCGCAGTGCGAGTGTTGTGTACCGAGGATGTCCGGCCGATCCCGTGTTTCGGCTTCCCCGATGCCAATCAGCTTCGGCCCAGCAGGCTTGCTCGCTTGGAAGTCCACTTATTACTGCTATCACCTATTAGCCAGCTTGCAATCTCCATGTGTGTGCAAGGTGTAGGTACAAGTTACACCGCGTTGGGGCTTGTACTAGCCGGAGTGTGAGTGCTCGATCAAACGGCACGAACATCCGCGCTCGACTGTACAACACATGGCTGTCGTGTCAGCTCTGATCCAGCGGGAGCATGGCCAGGAAAAGACAGAGTAACTTTGATTTGATTGATCTTGTCCAGTAATTCCGACCCGTAGTGTGGCGTTGGTGGCAGTCGGGATCATCGGTAAGTTGACTTCCTTCAGGATCACGTCGCGGTTTGCTTTATACCGAAACCTGCCGCGCAAGTCCGCCCGATTTGGAAGCCTGGTAGCATGTTGGTTTGCACCCACTGAGCACCACGGAAGCGATTTTCCGACTGTTTTAGACCCGAGACTTCTCCGCCCCGCAGGTGCCTCACCGAGGACATACAGATGCAGATCTAGCAGGCGGACACTTCAGTGAAAGTCACTGGCGACGATATGTCACCCTCACGCAACTTCACCTGTACTGCCTTACCTGGTGCGCCATGAAAGGTAGAGGAAAAAATCAACAGCGGGACTTGCAGCCCCCGTCTCCCAATAGAAAGTTGTGAGATCGTGCGCGAGCTGTGATTGGCCAGCGGGCAATTTGTCCCTCCTCCTCGACTAGCCGGCCGACCTGCCAGTCATCGTTGGCCCCATGCGCTGCAGCTACTGCTGGCTCGAGATTACCATCTCTGTGTACTTTTCTAATGGTAAATCCAAACAGTGAAAGTGTTACACGGTCATGCGATGACAAACGGATCGTAACAAAGCTTTCAGGAAATGACGACCCCCTCTCCCCTCCGCGTCCCAACGGGCTAGAGGATTTTGAGCGCTGACTAAACAAGAGAAGAACCACGGGGGCGCTGTTCAACATTTACGACCTCATGGATATCGCAACCAACCAGGAGAGGGTATAACTGCAGAACGGTGCTTAGAACTAAGCGATTTAGACGAATATTGACGTGAGGTGATGATGGCGTCATCATGAGATGAGTTACGTGTCATTAAAGGTGTACTCTTTAAAACCCTGTAATTCCTGAAGTACGTGTCCCTGATTTGAACCTTTGCAGGTAACTAGACAGGAAAGCGTTATTAAATGAGCTGTTGTGACGATGAAGTCGTTCGATGACGGTTCACGTGACGTTAAAGAAGCATTATATAAAGCATTGTTTGCCCTAAAATACGTGTCGTATTTGGATGAGTCTTTCCCAGATAGCTCAAAATGGAAGGTATGTAGCTGAAAATTGGCATATTTTGGATGATGATTTCATCAAGGGATAAGTCATGTGACATTAAAGGTGCCCCCTTTAATACCCTGTACATGTCTTAAAAAGTTAAATTAAATATCCGATTGGGTGAAATTTGACACAGTGCATATGCAAACATAGAAAGACATTAATTAGATTGGTTGTAGATGCGAAAAAGCCCTATGTCCCGTTGCAAACAGACATTGAACCTTTCGTCTTTTATTTTTTCGCAAAGAAAATGTCCCTGATGGGTGTTAACCCACTTTAACGCTTTTGGAGTCCGACTGGTAAGCATGTGCAAATAAATTGTGTAAATGCGAGAAGACTTTCCAAATCTGTGCGACAAATGTATATACGTACGCCATCAACAACTGCCAAAACCCGCAGATGTTGCCGCAGCGGTTGGGCTTTTTCCAGCAGTAATTACGAATCAGTGTCTCGGCTGGATTTCTCTGAAGTTTCCCGTCCTGAGCACGCCCATATGAGCATCGGAAACTAAAATACCCGTTAAATCAATACTGGGCTGTGGACAATAGCACAACAGCCTATGGGGTATTGCCACTCGCTGGTTCGCGCCGATGCATGTTGCAGTCACCTGGATTGCCATGTTGGTTTCGGTCGCGCACTGGACCCGCGCAAACTTCACCTCGATCTGCGATCTTAAGGCTGGTACGTAATGCTCTATGCACAAATAACATGCATGCGGGGCGTGTAGACCGCCGATCATCGGGAATTTCTCGAATACCTTGAAAATCAGTAAGCACTTCCCGATGGAAGGACTTGGCCCATAAATTCAATATCACTTTGCTGTCAAGCATTACTTAGCAGAGACTAGTTGCGTTGGCCTTGGTAAGATGAAAACCAAGGGGATGGGCTGCTTATTTCCCCATGGAGGGAGTTAGTCAAGAAATCAGTCGTGTTAGGGACAGGTAATTTAGTTTCGTTTAACCCAAGTTGTAATTAATGCGATGAAGGCAACAGACTTTCAGCACGATTTTCCAGGTTTTCGGTCATATAGACGTCAAGCTCTAGGGAAATACTGCTCGCCAGTCTCTGCTTTTAAGTTCATCCAGCACTCCCACAAATTTTGTCTGTCAAAACATCAACGACGAACCCTCGCTTACTTGACTTGAAAAATGAGGATAAATTGGGATCAGGGTCGCGCTATGCATCACAGAAATTGGGAACGGTTGCAGCGTGGAGTTCTCAGAAAATGCAGTTTTTAAAAATACGCGATGGGCTGGAGTCAACTTATAGTAAAGCTCATCTTATCTATTAAAATTAAACGCTAGTTGTGGGGCTTTTAACATAGGTCTCAAACTAGCTGTTCACATAGGTTTCTTAGATGCGTCATTGTTCACCATGATCGTAAAAATGGCCGAGGAAAGATGCAAACAAGGAAATGCTTTCCAAAATAGCTATCTGTGACCCTCCCCTGTACTGAATGTCACCTGTTGAACACAGATCAATCTTCTGCATATTTGGATTTTCTTTTAATATCGGTAGCGGGAGCGCAATCCAAGTTTTCGCGTTTAGCTGTGCTGCTTAGGCCTAAAGCTGCTCGTATCTACACGTATGTATGCGCATGCGATCTTTCTTCTCAATGTCACTCTTGCCATTTGACTAGTTTTCAAAGAAACACGCCTCGCTCGCCAAGTGGTATGGGGGACACATCTGAATATGTCATCATATCATCAGACATGTGGAGCAGTTTTGGTCACCGCTAGAGACCAATTTGAAAACCTTGATCTCAAGTCGTACCATCTGCCAACAGCGGTGACAAACGAAATCGTTGCACGTCAGTTTGATTGACTGGACTGGGACTTGCGTCTCATTGCAGCGAATTCTGGAACGTGGCGAAGATGTAGATGCGAGACGCAACAGTTGTCATTACAACTTCCATCCTTCAACCTGGGTCCGTTTCTAATAAGTTCGCAGTTACTTTTAGAAATTGTTTGCATAGTGACATTTAATAGTTGATGAGTCTTGCATCTCGGTTTGGATCTGTGAAGGGGCCAGAGGTAAAAACGTGCAAGATGCCATCGCGAAGAACAAAAAAAAAACCCGAATCCCTACATAAAACAGCCGTCAAATAAAAAAGTGTTAATTACGTAAATGTAAATAAGATCCTCATTAACGAAATGTACGTCATAGACGGACGTCACTGTAGAGGGCGACCCCAGGGTGAAGTGGTTAAGGTCCTCATCAACGTGTACTTTCTTCGCAAGCCCATCTGACAAAAGTCATGAAATGTGGGTAGTAGCGCAAAACCATTAAATGGTTTTAATGGACTGTAACATGACTATTAATGTCGAGTAATATCAACACACCACTCTTCAGGCCAAGGCAGCCAGCTGCATTTCAACCACAAGGCCGCGTTTTAGTTCCCGTATATAGTAATGGACACCACCATCCATTCTGAACACCACCATGCCGTAGATAGGAAATTACAAGAAAAGTCCTATAATCTCAAACCTCCGTGGAATATGCACGGATTCTCCATGTGATTAAATGGACAGGGGAGTCAGGTTGGTGTAGTGGCTCTTTCCTCGCCTTCCGTGACCCCTGCCACCCCTGTTCGAATCCCACCTAGGCCAGCATGTGCACTGGGTTTTCAGTTCCTGCCTAACTTTGTGGCTTTTCCCTGGAATATTCTTCAGTGGTTTTCCTCCCACCCCTAAAACTGAACATTTCTTCATTGTCGTCTTGATTATCACTTCATTCTGTAATTGGCGCTAAATGTGCTGTAGGATGGACAGATATAACTAGAAATGAATAAATAGACAAAAGTCTAGTCAAAGCCGTTGAAATTATTTTTGGTGAAGCATTTCACAGAATGTCACAAATGTATCGTTTGGCAACGATAGCCCGAACCGTCAGCTTACACATGTAGACGAAGAGATACAACTTCTTTCTGTCTGCTAAGTGACTCAAAGGACGCCCTCTGTTTGACATTTCCTCCTTCCTCCTTCGTTGGTACGGTTGCAATCATACTCCATGTTTTCGGAAATTGGCGAAGCAACGGTTGTGAATACGCGCGTGCTCCCAGGGAATTATTTTTCTATTCGCAATTTCTACGACTTACGATTCACAAAAGAAGGAAGTGTAGACAAGTACTGGAAAAGAAGAACATGGCGTCTATATAATACACGTATTCAGAGAGTAGAGAATGTGGATATGATAAGCTCCGTATCAACGGCAGAACGCAGATCAAACATTGTTGTAAGTCTGCTGTGGGTTTTGAGAGATTCAAAGAGCTTTCCAGTTACAGAAATCAAGCAGGTTAATTGGACATGTTGATTTGAATACATGACGTTTTAGAATTACATGTACTTTTAGACTGAAAGAACGTATATATTTGAAAGTATTTGAATATAAACAAGTAATGTTGAGCATGCACTTAAATTTATTTACTCTGTTTGTCGTTAAGATATTTTATGGAAATTTCCGCTCCTCTTAAGTCTCTTAAAAGTTTTTTTGATCTGATATGGGTAAATCCAATAAATGGTTAATTTGATATTGCAAAGTGTAAGTTTTACACCTTTAAAAATTGGCCAATGCTTTTCCTGGCAAACAAGGGCAGTTTTACTTTGATGTCATTTCAGAAAGACAGCTGTTCAAGGGGTCGGGGTTCTATTTAAATGTTGAATCCAAATTTTTCTCTTGGATATGTGTGCGAAAAGAGCTATCAAAATAGTAAAAATTCTGGCGAATGTTGGTGCTCGGATAGGCGGAGCTAGACACAGTTTCTTTCTGAAATGAAATAATGTTTCTGCCCATAGCCTAGATAGCACAATATATAAACATACATACAGGAAAAACAAAATAACTAAATACCATTAAATGGCAAAAAAATTGAAACTGAGGTTTAATGGGACACAGGGATATATACATGGACTGCATGGTGGACTGCCCTTTCATTTACTGCTAATTTCAGAGTGGCGTTTCAAATCATTGGTTTTGCGAACGTGCGCACACACCCTTACATTTGTATCCTTGTGGGGAATTTTCCTTGTCCTAGTTTAGTTTTCTAATTTCTTCCGTTTGGTCAGGATCATTTTTCTTGGCTGAAATTTGGACCAAGCGTCCTTTTTATGAAACACTTCAGTTTGCGATGTATAAGTGCATTTTTAAAATTCCTTGTGTTTGAATACATTCCAAATATCAGTTTTGTGAAATTCTTGTGAAACACCGTTTCAGTACCCCATAAATACAACGAATGTCCCCTGTGGGGTACGTCTATTGTCCTGGTACCCCACCAAGGTACCGCAAACACACACATTAAAAAGGAATCGAATACTCGCTTTCAGTTTATTGAACCAACTTACACCGCATTCAGTTGAGCTAATCCTTTAACCGCTCCTTGGATTAAATTAAAAGATGATAAATGTATATATGTTTTTTAGCATACGAGTATGCTAACCGAAACCATTAGGTTAAACTGAACAAACCTTGTCAGCATGCTTGAACCTGTTACAGATGGGAGTTGTTTTGGGACTTAATCGTATGTTTAGGCATACTCTCGGGTTAAGAGTCGCGCAAGTTGTTTTACATAGTGCCCACACTTTATTTGTTTTAGACTTTGTATACTGTGTATCCAGGAACCTCAAATTGACACAGTGGAGTGTGCAGAAATTAAGTGGCCTGCCCAAAATTGATCACAGCGCGGCCTCAAGATATGTGGGACTGTGCTGACAGGTACCATCGCCTTTCCTCCAAAAACACCCTCGTCACAGCTAATTGCACTTTAATCACGTCCAAGTACACGAATTTATCGAGCGCAGCCGAAGACCAATAAACACACCTCGGACGGTGTCAAAGCCAACCGCTGGAGACCTATGGGGTTGGTCGCCCCCCCGGCAGGTACAGGGGTTGGGCATGCAAGTGTCTCCCCCCCCCATCTTGGATGGCAGTGATTGGCACGGTTTCGGACTAGCTGCTCCCTTGTCTGTTTGCGTGAAGATAGCTGAGTGCCATTCGGGGCACTATGCTTGTTGCTTTTAAACATACTGTACCGCGCATATTCCAAACAAAAATATGTCCTCAAACCTATTAGTTTTCACGCGTGTTCCTTTGCTTTTAGCATCAATTCATCTTCATCTTTGTCATCAACCAAAATTACTGATTGCCTACTTCATCAAAGTCTTGTTTCATGCCGTTTCCAGCTCCATTACTCACTTGTGAAGAAAATGATCCAATTATTCCCACTTCCCATGTATCATACAATAAAACGTAGCTCCGCTCTTCACTTTCCATGAAAAAGTCTTGAAAGAACCGTTTAGTGACAAAGTGAAACGTTAGTATACGGTTTATGTATTCCAAGAGTCAACCTTGAATCCTTCCCAGCTGACAAATGTCCAGGGTAATTTTTCTCAAAAAGAAAGCTCTGTCCCAGTCATTGACAGATATTATTACATTTTCACATCCAGAAACCTCCCGTGTTGCATTTTGCGTTTTACTTGAGCCTCAGCATCAGCCATGGCACATTTATATCTTTTTTTACATTCTTCAATGTGGTGGAACGAACATTTCATTGTACATGTGACGCTTTCTATTGGATGGGAAAGTGTAAATCGACAGACTCAGACAACTACATGTATTAGTAACGATGCAAGTCCACAAGGATTTTCAGCCCAAATTAACCTTACAAGTTACATGGACGATACAGTCGAATTTAACACAAAAGAGCTAATTTCTGAGACACATATTTTTGAGATATTATATCGGACGCACTGATGTACTCCTTATTGGTTTTTGTTGTTATTTTTGGCGTGTTTTGCGGGGGGGGGTATTCGCAGTAGGCCGAATAGTATCCATTTTTCCCTTGATGACTTCAGTGCGTCGTTAAAAGTACCAGTAATAAAAGCATTTTGGGAGTACGCTCTTTAAAACAAAACTGGAAATGTTCTCTTAAAACCGGATGTACTTATTTTCAACTCCCAAAATAATCCAAGGTAAAAGGGGTGGATTGTCAAAATAACTTCGTGGCAACCCCAACTTACATTTGACGACAAATGTAGCTTCGAAGAAAGTTGTCCTTTTAAATTAAATATCAAGATCATTGCATATTTTGGGCAAAGGCTTACGATTTCAAACCCAAATGAAAAGCCTTCTTATTAAGTAATAAGAATAGAATAATTCAAGATGTATCGCTATCTGTCGACAATTAAACGACGAGATCCCACTTCCACTCTCGTAAATGGAACCAATCTGAGGTGGAAGACTAAAGCATGTGTCGGACGAGGAAAAAAACTCAGGTGACAAAAAGGTAAAATGGCTGCATGATTTTGCATAACTTGGTTGAAAGGAGCTTTATTGGCTGGCTTCGGTAACTTCAACAGCCAGAGGCAACACACACCTACCTTTCTATGGAAGTGCCTGAAGCCGCTACCGGTAGCTAGCTACCGGCTGCCTTATACATGTATATGTATAGGTGGTACACATGTTATTTTTGGCTGCTACCGGAACTTTCAGACACGGCTTAAAAGTAGAACAAATTATTCAGCACGACGTGAGGAAACGTCTCCATTTTACCAATACCTCATCGTGATCATTTGTAATCAGCAAAGGGTAAGTTCGAAAAGCATTCGGGTTTGATTGAGCAGCGAGTCAATCACAGGCATGCGGCTCCTGGTGGTCAGCAAGAGGAGGTCCAGGGGCGCGGATGCCGACTTTGACAGGCTCGTCTCCCCATGCGCCCCAACCCCAGTACGGATGATTGAACTTTTGCGAGGTCCCATGCTGGGCATGCACTTTTTGGTATTGCGTGACATGAGGGGAGCAACACATGTGGAAAACATATTTAGAAGAAAACAGCAACTTATCATGATATGGAAATATTGCACAGTATAATTATGTGCAATCCCCTAACAAATCGAAGAAAACTTTTTCAATGTCTCTTTGACAGATTTTCGTTATCTTCTCGTGCTGTTCAACTGTGTTCAAACTGTATTCGCAAAGTCAGGCCGTTTAATTCACGGAGGATCGAACACAGTCCCCACTTTTTTATAAATACGTCCCCTCTAGTCGTTGATAAAAAATTGTTCACGAAAAGGTCATAATGCTACCGGTTCGAGAGTAAACCTAACAGACACAAAATATTATTCAAAATTAATTAAACAAACGGCATAGTTGAAGCGCGTTAGGCTGGACCATTGAGAGCATGGGAACTCTCTGCAAAGAGCGAGAGAACAAGTATCTTCAGTCCAATCTTGACTCGTCAACATTGTTTGGAACCGATGGGAAGTGGTGACAGTGTGTTCATTTCATTTCAATCATTTTTAAAAACTCACCTCATATTACGACATGACAAATGTAAAAAGGTGACATGCATTTGCATTCAACTCACTCTTAACCCCCCCCCCCAGGATGATACAAATAATGTAATTCACTTAATGACGTTTGAGTATAAACTGCTCGATACTGGCGTGAATGCTTTCATTGCAATTGTTTGCAGTCCAAATAAAGTACCAATAAATCCACTTTCTATTTTTTTAATGTTCTCAATGTGTTTGGCATTGTAGTTGCCTGTTTTTAACAAGTGGGACATTTCTCTCGTGCACATCTAACTCAAACTGGCGTGAAACCCAGGTCCTAATGACCTTACTCTCCGATATTGAACTGCAATTGTATACATGAGACCATCAGTATTTGACCAAAATCCGAAAAGAAACATTCAAGCAAAGCGAACAAAGAACACCAATGGAGAAAAATTATACATGTACTGGTAAATGGAAATCTAACGATTGGATAATTACCAGAAAGTTCTGAGTACTTGCGTTCAAAGCAAGATGGCAATTCAGCAGCTCAACTGAAAATCGAAGCAATGTTTCCAAGTTCCTTCACGTATTCCATTCATTTTATTTACACTTTCATTCAATCACTGTACAGACGAAATACATCCGTTGATACACAGAGGCATACTTTACACAAAAACAATTGCAACATCATTGAAATATGGGGATGAATTCAATTATTTCATGTCTCATACGTTAGTTGGAATTTTTTATGTTCTTGCTCTCAGTTTACTTAAACAGAAACTTTTTAAATTGTCCAAATTCACTGAAATTTGTCAAGCTTTCACACTAAACCGAGAAACAACAGTTGTAATATTCATAGGCCTAACATCAAATCGGGGAAATATCATATGAACCTGCCAATTTGTTGATTTTTTTAATATTAGTAACCCGAGGACTTTGTTTGGTCTTCTGTTTTTAATCGCCATGTCGTGTGCTCAAAGATGATGTATATCCATTTAAACTTTTTGACTCGTATTTACAATTGAACACATTAAATAATTGATTTCATAATTTACATGCATTTGAGCATATCTGTACAGTATACGAGTATAAGAAATAACATATAAAACATTTCTAGAAGATCGCTTAGCGTGTCTAATAATATTCATTTCATGATAAACAGAGTCCAAAATGTTTTGAACTGACACGAATATCTCCATCAGAAGTTAGCATGAGCTTAAAAAATGCACACTGAGATGATTTGATCTGGGGAACTTTCATCACGGGAATACTTTCTTTTTTTACGAAGGGCTTTGACCTTAAAACTTCTCCATGGAGTCAGATTCTCAACATTGCAAACTCTGTTTAATACTGATATATTTAACGGCTTTTTAATTATGTTCATTAGTGACATCCGCAAGACTCAACTACCATATCTTCGTACTGTCTTAGGACCACATTGTCTTCATTGTCAAAGTACAACATTGAGATCGCCGAGAGCTTGGTCGGCGCACAGCAGACCTTTGGGGCCGACTCCGGACTGTTCGAGTTGACCATCGACTGGATGATGGCGTGGTTCGTGCCGTTCAGCCTGCTGTCTAATGGGAAGGGGCAATCCCCACCGCAATAGTACGACTGATAGCCCATGGGCGCGATGATCCAATCTTGCCAACCCACATCACGGAAGCTGACGTACAGGCGGCGTCTCTGGCAGTCATTTGGGTGAGGCACGGGGCGGGCAGTCCCCTCCTCCTCGTCAGCGCTCCTTCGGAAGCGGTTCCGGCACTTCTCGCCGTCCACCGACACCACCACCAGCGTTGCCGTCCTCCGTCGAAGTTTACCCAGCTTCTTGGCCAAGATGGCGTTGGCCTTCCTCTTAGGCAGGCCCTCGGTCTTCTGAATGTCCATGGCTACGTACAGTCCGGTGTTTCCATTCAGGCCCGCCCTCCATTCCTGTACCACGGGCAACATGTCGATTGTCTCCGGTGAAGCCTGCGATACGTCAATGACCAGCGATGCTAGCAAACGGAACGAACTCCTGGTGCCTTCGACGCTGGCTGACCTCATCTCATCCACAGCCTGCGTGATCTGGTAGAGTTTCAGGTGGACTGTCGAAGAAGGTCTCACTTTTCTAACCACGTCCAGAAACTCCAACCTCAGATGTGCCCCCGTGATAGTCTCCGAGGAAGGGATGAATGACAAGTTGAAGTGCAGGATTTGACGGAAGCGCCGGTCGGATTTTGCCAAAGCCTTAAGTTTTGTACCTAAAAAGAAACAAAAAACGAGAAATAAAGTGGTTAAGTTTTTAGTTACTCTTTAATCAAGTGGAAAATTACAACACTGATTTCCCGGTAAATACACTTAGCAAGCAGACATTTTAGCCCAGTCAATAAACCGGAGGAAACAGCACCTACTTTGAAAAAGAAAATGTTGAAATATTTGATAAAAAAACACACACAAATACCCATTCCCAAATTAGCCTAATTCTCAGATAGATCGTTTTCCTATCCATATGAATTACCTGATCTCTTAATCAAAGTGTTTGGCCAGAAGATTAGCTCCTGATAACCCAACAAACATTTCACAGTGAGTAAGCAGGAATTACCTAAGGTGATAAAACCATTAACAGGATGATCCAAAGGTGTTAAAAGCCAAAGGGCGCTACCGCACACCTGTAACTTTGCATAGCATAAAAAAGAGCAGAAGAGAGCTGGCAATGTGGCAAGCGTTTTTACACCGCATTCTAGTACCGGTTAAATACCTCTCGTTTAAGTTAACAAAAGCAAACCCAAATCCCCTAAAAAGCTCGCTGGATCTGCAAGATTTGGCAAATCACGTTTGGAATGACAGGGTCAACCTTTTTGAGAGGGGAGCACACGTACGTGTGGTGATAAAGAACGCACTGGCAATATCATGCATTGGTAATCCGCAGTTGTAAGAAAGCGTTAGGGGCATCGATGGTTTAAGTATATACATGTAGCGGGGACTGAAAATCCTCTCTACAAGGCATCGCTTTCAGGAAAAATCCCTAGGGGAAAGTAATAGTAAAACAAAAAATCCAAATAAAAGTTTTAAAAATGGGTTTAATGATTTCAAGTGAAAGTGGTGCAGATACATGTATATGCAATGAGCAGCATCCAAGCAACAGCCTAATTAAAAGTCACGTGATAAAACCGGAAACCACGTTTAGCTAATTTCTCAGAGGTCAGATGTCGACGACTGCGCGCCACAAAACGATAACATTGACTCTGTGGAAGGGCTGAACGGCCGCCCTCCCGGACAGATATTTCAACATGCTTGTTAGTGCCTGGGACTTTTAAAAGGAGGATTGGTCTGAGCTGGAGCAGTGTTTTGTTTTTGTCTGCCGGCAGCTCATTACTCATCCTACATCGGTAAAGTGCAGTCTAAATAAACGACAGCGGCATGAGGTTGGTGCTTGCCTTGACACTGGGTGATCTGCCCTCATGGAATGTCAGTCAATTCCCTGCTGAAATTGCTCAATATCTAGGGGTTGCGTCACTATGTGGCAATTTGTGAGTCAGCGATATTTTGACGTTCTCAAAACTCTCACAGTAAAGTAAAATATCTGCACGCGTGCTCTAACCGAGTTAAAATACTAAGTTCCCTTTCTGCACAGAAAATAAAATCAATAAAAATATAACTATTCAAAACGTCTTCAGAACGTATTAGCAATCTTTAGCAGAAACGATGAAAAAGATCAGTTATTGGGTTTTTATATTCTTGCGTAACATATCCTTGCACTGTTTATTCCACGTGGAGTCAAACTTTAGAATTACGATGACGAATAATTTTTTCTAGATTTTGAAAGAGAGAGGATGTTTACCTGCATTTGGGACACTGCGGACGATGTTGCCGGGGAAGGCTGGGTCGGGAAATGAACATCGTCCGGCTGTATGTTCCGAGTTCGACCTGTTCTGCAATTTGTCGTACAGGTCCAACATGAACTGCGGAGCGGTGGCGTTGGGTCGCGGTCTGGGCCTCTCGCTTAAGCCTAGCATGCTGAGAATCTTGCTCTCCATCCGCGAGCTGAGGGGCGTAGGCTGAGTATTGCTGCTGGTGCTGCTGCTAATGTCAGCCCCGAGAATGACTTGGGTAGCTGCTAAATAAGCAAGAACGAGGACGAGGCCCGGAATAGTCGTCATGGTTAGTTCTGGTATGAAAGCTGCCAGGGGGTTGTATCTTCAGTTGTTGGCCCACTGGCCACGATCAGTCTGTCAGGAGGCAGGTGCGAATGTCCACACAAAGTAGGTTTCCTTTAAGAACCAGTTGGGAATGCGTTTAGCTCGGGGTGAGGAAACGGGGAAGACGGAGACGTTGAAACTTGCGAATGGACTGCGAAGCACGTCTTCCTCTGCAACTTGACGAGAGAAGTTCGCGATGCGGTTCACTCAAGGACAAACCACCAGGGGCGTTCAAGGGCTGTGTCAGGAAATAACCTGGTGTGAGGTTGCCAAATCGAGTGAAGTTCGCTGACGACTGCGGAAGGTCCAATGAGTCTAGTGTTTGCTTTGGGAAATGACAGATCGTAGACTGAGCTCATGGTGTGCGCACTGCCACCAATTATAACGCGACTCGTCTAGTCGGGCTAATTGGTAGGGTGGAGCGCGGGTTGGGTAGCTCCCATGCATCCAGACACGTTTAATTAATGACACAATTACCTTCACTCAGAGTTTGACTACAGTGATATCCGGGCACTGGCCTCGCTGTGCAAACAGGTCTGATCATGTACACTGGTCGAGGTGGAACCATCCAAGCGTGCGGGTCTTCTCTTGACCAATGTGGGCAGTCGGCTATTGTTATGTTAAGTGCATCTGCCTTAGAGATGCTGCGTTAACATCTGCTTTTGTTCCCACTGCGTATACGTCCCGACTCAAGTTCATTTGCGAGCATGGCTACCTGACTTGAAACAAGAAATTTTCCCTCCGAGTATGGGTCAAAACATTCAGCATTTTTTTTTATTATGCAATGAAACCATGATGGATAGAGAAACTCATAGGGGATTCATACGAGTGAAAGGGTAAATCGGTTCGGTTCTCCAGCCGTAACAATATAGGAAACAGACCAATTACGTCGTCTGCTCTTCTACTGTCTATGACTGAGACCGATTATATTGATTCTATTCACCGAACGCTAATTTCTGGCCCGTTAACCGTCGGGATGGGGGGTGTGAAGCCATATACGTGCAAGACAAAAATCTTCGCACTGAAACCGACATCAAAACGTGCCTGATTTTAGAGAGCTGCTAATGTCTAGACCTCATATTAGCTTTATTGCCAAGTTGTCGCCCAATTTAGGATAAATGTTCCAACTGTAGTGTAACCAAATGCCTGTGCAGTGTGCGGTGTATTTGAAAAAAAGACTTTAATTAAATAGATTTTATGAATTTTGGAGAGAGCTGGGGTAATTTTTGTCAGCGAATTCTTGGCCTGTTATCTAATATTAAGAGATGGCAAATCTTTTGTAAAATTTAGTAAATCATACAAATGATCGGTTGATGTCGAAAATATACCACTAACTAATAAATTATGGTGACAAGTTGGATAGGGCCGTGGGTTCATGATGGCGACATATTTTGAAGGCTGGAACAAAAAATGATTTAAACCATGAAAAGCAAACTCTAAATGATGTACAATGAAAATATCCCGGCTTCCACAAACATCAGAAAATGATCCAGAGCTTCTTACGAGGGAGCTGAAAAACACGTCATTTAGAGCTTAATACTTCTAGGGTTTCGGAAGACCATTGGAAAGACGGTGGCAACTCTCCTGAAACAAAATTCTGGCTTTTAAAAAGATTCCACTGGATCGAGGTAAAAGCCTATCTTTTGCATAAAAGTAACACGAAGGACTAAGTGCATCTGTTGCCCCGCCTTCCTGTAGCATTGAGGAGATGTTATAGACTCCAAAAATAAAGCCATGAAGTGAGTTGGAATAGAAAGGAAGGACACTTCCCTTCTTAACCTCGACAACAAATCACTTGGTCTCAAAATGGATTTGAGTCACACAATGTCGATTTCAACTTTCAACTGACTGACTTCGTGTAAGTCATGGTATAAGGAAACAATTTCCTACACTCTCTTACGACTATGATCACGTGCAAGGAACGGATAGTTGGATTGGATTCACCGTTAATACCGCATGTCAAAGCTGAATAAGCATATTATTCCTTCCAGACAGACAAGCCAACATAAACACGTTAATTAAAGGTGTTGACCACAGTAAGTGTCTCAATGATCAAGTTGGATGCTTGTTTCTAAACACTTGGCTACATCTTCTGTGCCCGCTGAGGTTGAGTGAGCAACACACGGTCGCGGAATGACCGTTTAACAGACGTAGTGATACAGTGTAACCTATACTGTAGACGCACCAATTTGGCCAGCAGAACGCACACAATGGTGTTTGTTACGCTACAAATTAGACGCATGTCTGGGGGAGGGGGACCCATAGAGGCGACTGATTACCCTCGGGCAGGATTCAACACGTTCGTAAACTGTAATGCCGTTTAAATAAACGTTGTCATGCATTCCAGAAAAAAATGAGTATTTTGAACTGTTTCTTGAAGACAAAGTTATACACTAAAGTTGGTAATACCGACGCAGGGAAAATCTAACAATATAAAACCACCCAGATATGAATGATTCTTTACTTTGGTTTGTCATTATATATTTTTTCTTATAATGTAGCCACGTATCATATAATGCAGAGCACAGTCATAGTTTATTGCTGTGTCCTTATTTATACTTGCTGGCTTAATTTAAAAGCCCATTGAATTTCAGATTTTTTTGCCTTTTGTAGCTACTTTTTTAATGCTGTATTGATTCTGTACAAAGTTAGGTTGGCGGATTTTGCTTATCTCTCACGTCTGTTGTTCGCAAAATGTTTAAGTCATTTCTTCGGAGGTTCCTCTTGCTCTTGCATTTTGGTCTTCACATCAGCTCCCTCTCTCGATGAAAAGTATTCATTTGATATGTTATTTTTGTTCAAAGGCTGGAGACTGTAGAGAAGGGTGGATGACAATTTCAGATTTTGGCAGTCTACCAACTCGGAGGGTGGTGCTTGCCAAAATTCACTGGAATCTGCGCTAGGGCACTGGCGACTAAATGAACGTGTCGAAGCCCCCCCCCACCACCACCACCCCACCTCTCGATTTATCATGAACCCACCCCCAGTGGAGAGTCAGGAACGAGGCCGAATGCTATACCTCCCCTCCTTGTTTTGCTCCATGCTCCCTTAGCCTAAGTCCCCTGGTTAAATTGTTGAAGAAGCTGTGTTTGTTTCAGTAAATGCAGACACCTATTCAGCTTAACTAGTCTTGCAGGGTCATCAAAATAATGGCTTGAATGGCATGCCAGTTCCCGTCTGATTTTTTAGAACACTGAGTACGAGCATAGTCTGGGTATACCGCGGTTAATCTTCTAAGGGAAGTTTGTGTGAAATATGCGGATTTAGCCTCTTCCCAATATATAGCCAATTAGCTGAAGTGATTTCCAGCTTTGCGTCTTAGGCTTATGTCACTCAACGGATCTATTTACACGAGTTCATAATAGCGTCAACTGCAGTTGTGTGCATTGCCAAGTGAGCTAATTGTCGGATTAAAGGGCCCATGTCAATAATTTTGTACACCTACGTTTTGTTTGAATTTTCGACGCCCATTAGCACTTTCCGATTCCGGCTTGTACAAATCAGGGCCAAGCTTTTTTTTTATTTCTCAAACTTCATCAGTGGTGTTTAAGAAAGAGGGATGTATAAGTTAAAATTGTTTTGCTCGAAATCATGTAATTTCCCCATCATAAGTCATACTAATAAAAGGTGCAGCTTCGAGGTGCAACCCTCACATCCGATATGACTACCTACCGCAGTTAATGTACACGAAGATGTTCAATGCCGGCCAGAAAAGCATTATAATAGGCACATGAATTGCACTTGTAGCTTCAGATTATCATATGTCGTGGGTACAAAAGATGGAAGAGGGGATTCGCTCGAGCTGGTTTACGTAGTGTAGTGCATAAGTGAAAGGATTAACGTTCAGAATCTCCGTGGTCCAAATCCTAGAGGATAATGTTTTCTTCTTTTTCAGTCAGTTTCCTGTTCGAAGAGATCAAATTTTAAAGTTCACTTAATTTGCTGCACCAATTTGTAGCCTTATATTTTTTTGCAACAGTACAGCTTTGATTCGGGTAGCGCTGCGGCTCTTATGAGGCAACTATCCGCTGAACACATATGTGCAGAAACCGCTGAGTTGGTGTTTACATGAACTTGAACTTACATTTGAAATTTTCTTTCTTTTGCCATGTTCTCATCTTCTGTATCCATGCGCGGCCCACGTTTTGCTAACGGCCAAGGTGATGCGGTGTAGGAGGCCATTAGTTGAAAACTTGGAAATGTTTGGGTTTTTTTCTGACTTGGTATGTATTAATGTTACTAGCTCAGGAAAAATCTTCCCACCTCATCCCCATAATAAAATAACAGTTGCGAAGGAGCACTTCCACAGCAAGTTTAAGTTTTTTCCCAACGTACAAATGGTTAGATAAATTAAAAGGTAACGCAGCTCGTGTCACTTGTAAATCACCACAGCTACCAATTAACATAAACAGAATTGTTTCAGATAGAACACGTTTCGATGGGTTGACGTTTAGCTAAACTTTGGGAAGTGGCTGTAAGTGGTTAAAGTGGCGGTCTAAGCAGCCAGCATCGACACTGTGTATATTAACTCGGCAATAAATCAGCGTGAAGGGCAGGCTAGGGGATATTTACACTGCAAACAAAGTAACATGCCGGCTGCTTAAATGGAGCGGCCTCTGAGGCCGAAAAGAGTAGGCTTTTGGGTTGTGGTTGCTATGGCAAAACAAACCGTGACAATCTATTGAGGGAATGTGAAGAGCAGAGGGGTCTACACCGGACCACGGTAGCCCTGGAGAGTAACATGTCCGTCGATGAGGAATGTTTTTAGAGAAATCGGTGGATGTGCTGCCTACATATCTACTTCTCCACACCTCAAGTGTGAAAATTGTGCTGAGCACACTAGACAGTCACTTGCAAAAGTTTAAGACCACCTGGAATTTTACTGGACTGTCACTGGGCCATTGAATCAGTATAGTGCTGTATACCCATTTGAATTAATTTTTTTTTTTGGGGGGGGGCAAAGGCAGGTCTTGTATGACATTTTGTATGTAAGACAACATGGGTTAAAAAGCAAGTCTAAGTAATCAGAAATAAAGGAGAGCTCACTAATTATTGGGCTGTTAACTTTTCAAATCATGGAAAGGTAGTCAATTAGCTATGCAACCAAGATACAAAGGTTACACGTTGAAAATAAACATGAGTTGCCATAATTGATTGGTTTAAGTTTGGTTTTTCTTCATTTTGTACTGGCGGTTCTTAACTTTTGCATGTGACTGTAGTTCAACCATTTTAATCTTGAATTCTGGGGCACGTCGCAATGATATTTTCCCTTTTATTTAGCATGGATTGATGCATGACTACGCAAAGGGGGACATAAGGTAGAATTTTTAATACATTGGTTCAATTCGCCTTATTTTACAACTGCAACCACGAAACGGGGCCGTTAGGCTGTATTTTGTACCATAACACAAGTTTGGTACATGCCCGGGTCCGGCGTCCTACATAGCATTGTGTCTTAAGCATGAATTCGTCACGTACCAAGTATGCGACACGTTCGTCGATATACAAGTATATGCAGGTTACATTCACCCGCTCTGCATGTGTCCAAAGCGGTCGCAATGGACCGGGCTTAAATTTGGTGGACGGACGGGAGTGG